TCTATCATCTGTACCTATATATAGCTATCCATATAGCTGTCTACTGTTTGTCTGTGTATCTATCTATCTATCTATCTATCTATCTATCTATCTATCTCTCATCTGTCTATCTGTGTGTATCCACATCGTAACACCTTAGCATCTGCACTAGAGTTCAAACTACTTTAGAGTGAACTTCAGGTGTCACCCGCCTTCTGTCGACTTCCCTCAGGGTTCCTAACAGGCAACAGATATTTGTTCTTTGACTTCAATGTCGGCAGAAAGTATATATATTTTTTTTCCAGTAAGAAAAGAAGAAGCGTTGTAAACAATAGGATGAGAGAGAAAAAAGAAACAGTTCAGACCCCTGTTTCTTCCCTTTTGTGGTTATACTAAATGAGAATTTTTCCTTTAGCTGGCAAAAGAGAAGTTAAAACTTTCAAAATTATGAACTGAGATCCTTTTAAAAAAAAAATCGAGTTCAAATCCACTGGCTCCGATAGTACAGGATTCACGTGTTTCTTTCTTACGACTTCCGGCACTGAATTGATTTTAAAAGTTGCTACGAATACAGTAACAAGGGACAAGGCCATCGTCCAAGGCGGAGAAGGAGGGAGGGACTCTCAGAGGTGTCAGTTGGTGTCTGCCGGCCGGCTGGCGGCTCCACACCAGACAACGAAATGGAGGGACAGTCACGCAGGTGGTTAATCGGAGGCGACGCTGAGTAGTTGTTACGGTCTCTGATCTGGGACTTCCTTCAAGGCTTGGTCCCGTGACCCCCTTGCTGGGTGACACACAGCACTTTCTATTTATTGAACTTCAGCTTGCGCGTCCGTACGATCAAGGGGTTGGATGGCACAGGGCATCATCGAGGTGAAAACAGGCAACGCACTTGGACGTGGCCATCTGTTGACTTCCATGCCAGGAGGTTGACGTGTGATTACACCTCATCCTTTGGTGGGGCGTAGCACACACGTCAGCGTGGTGGCTGCTGGTTGCTCCTGTAAAGAGAAGCCAGTGACACGCGCTCCAGGGCCGGGCACTCTAAGCATTTTGTGTGTGTGTGTGTGTGTGTGTGTGTTCTGTGTGTTTCTTTTGAAGAACGGGGCAGACGACGTGAAGCGGCATCGCTGGTTCCGTGCAGTGGACTGGGAGGCCGTGCCCCAGAGGAGGCTGAAGGTATGGCGCGCGTCGGCGGGCGACCCCGAACCCACATGCCTGGGTGGTCCATAGTTCCTTCGCACAGTGCGGCCCATGCCCTCGAGCCATCGATACGCCGCGTTCCCGATGCGGTCAGCATCTCAGCGCCGCCGGACCGGCGCCGGGGCCGGGCTGACACCCCAGCTCTGTCAGTGGGACTCGTAGAGCACGGGCTCCATCCCTCACTAGCCCCGCGTGACCGCGACGAATCTGGTCACCCCGCTTTCTAACGGGGAACGGTCAGTGCCACGTCACAGATAAAAAGCGTGTGCCTGCGGTGACGCTGGTAGAGTCGATGGCGGGCTTCGTGGGGGTCATTGTCATGGGGCCGGAGGACGTGTGTGGTACGTGTCCTGCACGGGCTTATCGTGTGGAGTCAGTGGAGATGTGCTAAGTGGCGGACACCGCGTCCTTCTAACTGTGCCTCTGCTTTGCTCGATGTCGTAGCCTCCCATCGTGCCCAAGGTGTGTGGCGAGGGCGATACGTCCAACTTCGAAGCGTACCCCGAAAACGACTGGAACACGGCCCCTGCGGTGTCACCCAAAGACCTGGAAGTCTTCAAGAACTTCTGAGGACAGGAGTCCGCCTCTGGGAAGGTACCCTTCTGCTTTGAGTAGTTAACACAGTAGGGTTGACAGGACCCCATGTCAAGCAGATACCGATGACCGAGTGGGACTTTTGTCACCCATTCGGACACGAGCCACGGAGCAGACGGAGAGGGTCCTTCCAGGCGTCAGCCTAACAGACACCCCAGGGGTGTCGCTCAGGGGGTATGGGTGGCCTGGAGGCATCAGCGTCACCTCCAGGATGTAAATCCGCAAACGTGTGTGTCTGCCAGGGCCGCCGAGTCAGATCGCGTAAGGCATTTGTGTGTGCCTCAGTGTTCGAGAGGCACGCCGTTTTTCTGCTGCTTGTGGTTTTCTGTTTGTTTGTTTGTTTGTTTGTTGCTGAGAAACCTTGAGTTCTTGCGTTACGACAACTCTGAGTTCCAGGGCGGTGTCCTCACGTACTGAAACGACCGAGTATTTTCAAAAGGGTTCTTTTGGGTCCCTTGTTGTTAAAATGTGATCGTATGGAATTTGCTGAAATTAAAAAGAAAAAAGATTTTGAGCTCATCGTGTCCTTGAACGTTTGACGGTCTGAGACTCTAACTACGGAGCCTGTGGCTGCGAGACTCAGGAGGTCGAGCGTTTTCCACATTGGGAGCGGCCCGAGGTCACGCGCTGGTACCACGCGGGCGTTACATCATCGGCGTTGCTCGTGGCGTGGGAAGGAGGGCGTGAGGACAGCGGGCAAGAACAGGGGCTCCGCCTCATTCTGCCTTCGACTCTAATCCACGAGACAGTGTTTGTCTTGCCGCAAAGCCTGTCGAAACGGAAACCATCTTTGCTTCGGCCGTCGATCCTCTTCCGTACCGTGCGCGAGGGGGAGACGGTGGGATAACTCGATGGCTGAGGACATCGCATGACATGGAACCCTCCCTTCGAGACCCTTTGCGCTGTCTCACGAGCCACCGACCCTTCTTAGAACCCGAGCCTGTGGCCCTGTGCGACGAGAATCGTCCAAACAGTGGGCTCGCTTTTGCGTCGTTACGAGCAACGCGCCGTTTATCCGTCTCGTTAGAAACTAACCAAACGCTCTGTCTTCTTTCCTCCCAGAAACTGGAAGAGTGGAGCCTGCCTGGGAAAGACGCTGCGTGGATGCAGAGCCGGAGGAGCGCGTTCTTGCTGTGTGTGACAGGGACGGCGCCCCACTTACGCACTGTCGTTTGAAGACGCGGTGGCCAGCGGGCCTCCTGGCACCTGCGTTATTTCGGCAACTGGAAATGCGTCCCCCCCTCGGCTGCGCCTTCTCCCTGAGCACCGGGCTTCGACTGTGATGCCTTGTTTTTTTTCTCACCGACTCAACTTTCTCAGTTCGAACCGAACGTGCATATGCATAACCACAAACTGCGTACGTGTGTGTGTGTGTGTGTGTGTGAGTTTGTGCGAGTGCATTAAAAACGGTATGTGCGTTGATGTAACTGTTCATGCTTTGCGGAGCCTGTGACACTGAGTTTTCAGTTTTGTTTTGTTTCGTTTTTTAAGAATTTATGCTCTTGGGGACAAAAATCTAAAAAGGAAGAAGTGTGCTTTTTTTTTTTTTTTCCTACTTTCTGTGCATTTTTCGTTATTCGTGAAGAAAACGTCACGTGACATTCTATAGCTAACATCTTTAAAGCTTTATATCTGGTGATTTTAGGTCTAGAAACCAAAAGGAAGAGAAAGAGACGTGGGTTAGAATCTTAGTCCGAGAATGACCCGTGACCATTCAAGTTATCTAAGGAGTGAAACAGTCAAAAAACTTTTTTTTTTCTCCAAAATTTCATATCGCAGGAAGGATACCTATTAAAATCTCTCACATACCCGTCCCAAAGCTAACAGATGAGTCGACATTGGCTGAGTGGCACCGACGACCTTCGTGCAAAGCTTTCCTTTTAATTTTCATGTGGAAAAAGTAAACAAATGACCCGCAGGACGTCGGCTTTCATCGTGGTCGATCGAACGTTGCTCGTCTCTGCTGCGTTTCTTCTCTCTTTGCAAACGGCCAAGTTGAGTCCGTGCGGCACACTTCGGTCTCATGGTTGAGGTCACACTCGAGCAGAGGGACCCGTGTGGGTGACGTGTCTTCTTTTCGGACCCGCTCGTGAAGACGGCGTGACAAGCATCCTGCGAATATTTGCTCTCAGGACCGGCAAGGAAAGCGAGACGCCGAGTTGGCCGCAGTGGACGTGGCTCTGCCCAGAAACGGGACACCGGCCGACGTCCCTGGAGTCTGTGCTGTCCCCGTGTTTCGATGCCTTTGCTCCACTCCTGCTTCTGCTTCCTGAGTGTGAACTTTGCTGTCCCAACCCCAAGGGGCTGCCCGTTCCCCGCTGCCTCCGACTCGGCCGGAGAAGCAGAGCTGCCCAAACCCGCTGTGTGTCCACACCCGCGGGGGCCTGTGTGTTTGAGAAGTAGATCCCAGGGCCTTCGATGACGACAGGGCTCCGACGTGGAGAGCTGCCGTTTGAGGAACTCCTGCTTTTTTATTAAAAAAAATAAATAAATAGAAACATGTCAAAGGAATGCATTCACCTATGAGATCCGGCCGGGTTCCACTGACGAATGACCAGGCAAAGGCACTGTGTGTTTGAGAACGAAAATGACCAGAACTCACACCCACAAAAGCTTTAAAGCACAATGACGTCCAAGAGCAGAATCGTCCCTCCCTCTCATCCACGACCGAGTCTTCAGGTGGAAAGAGACTCGGGAGCGGAGCGTGAGCACGGAATGCCGCGAAATAAACCGTTTACCGGGAGTGACTCAGTGAGAAGCCATCTCCAAAGGGCGCGCTGCACACGTGTCCCCACAGAACCGTGTTCTCAGCCTGTCCTCGGCCACCGTCCTGTCTGATGGGAGCAGAAGGCCACGGCCGGCTAAAACTTGAGCAGCTTCTGAACTGTTTTGTCACTAACCGTTAGCTTACACCGACAAAGTGACTTCGCACTGAGATGTGGGCGTAGAAACAAAATCCTATGTCATGACTCCTGACTATAAAGTAAATAATAATAATAATTACTGTTATGTTACAGCCTTCTGCTCTAAAAAAAAAAAAAAAGAAACACCATCCTCAAACATGAAAAAAAATTCTACATAAGCGTATTCACCCATCTGCATATTTTTAGGTTTAGTTCTTACTGTCCAGAATTTAATGAATGAGATAAAAATTGCCTCAAGGAAGCATGAAATGCATTGCCTTAATTTTGAACAAATCTGCCGGAAAAACAAATGTTTGAATACGTCGATGACATTATTCTTTAAAAACATTATCGTCTGCCATCACCCATTAACCATGCAACACAAACTGTAAATTAAAAGGGATTTCAAAAACACTCGGTGGTCTTAAACTCGCCTTCAACAGTCTTGCCAATTTTAGTACCTGGAGTGGCACACACTACGTGTGAACTGCCCGTGGCAGGGCTGGAAATAAGTGGCGTGACATAATTCAAGGGCCGCTTTAATCCAGATGAGCCTTAAACGCATGGGACGCTCCATGCGTATAGTTGAAAAATAGTTTCCTCAGCGGGGACATTCTGAAATGCCCATGCATCTACGATCAAATATAATCAATATGCAATGTTTTGAAGAAAATTCATGGAAGTAATCGTAAAATTCAGGTCAGAAGTTACAGATTTGGTTTATGCAACATCGAGAGTTCAAAGGCTTTCTTAAATAAGACTGCTATCAAAAAAGGATCTTTAAGAAGAGATATATTCAGGTGGATCTTGTCCTAACAAAAATGTCACTAGCCTCCCCCGATCTGCGTCTCTGGGAAGGAAATAAAATCACGATGATCCCTCAGCAAGCAGATCATGCATTTGTATCGGCCGACTTCCCACGCCTTCCAGACAGAAGTCGGAATTCTCAGCGTAAACATCTGTTGCCGGCGTTGGGCAAATCGTGGTTTCTGCTGTCAATGGCACGGTAGCCAAAGAGACCCTGGCAACAAGGTCCACGTGCCCACTTTTCGCCATTGTGTTGGTTTAAGACGCCTCTTCCCATCCACGCCCAGGGAGCAGCTACACAATCACCTGTTTATAAATGTCTAGAACGTTGTGTTTCATTCTACACATCTAAACTTCAAGGCCAGCTCGCTACCAATGACAGCATCCCCAGCAGCGCTAAACGTTTGAGTGACGTGGGATGCATTTGCCTTTTCTAAGTTGACCTAAGTTGCCTCTAGATGTTGGACCTCTTTAACTGTAAACATATGGCCCAGGCGCCTCTCTATAGGGCCACTGCCCAGGGGGAGCACGTCGGGCTACGGCAAACCCCGTTACAGCATCAAAATCCTGTCTGGCTACTTGGTTAATGGAGTGCAGAAAAAACATACTTGGTTAGATTTTTT